AAACATAATCGCTAAAAGAATATAAAAAGATTTAGGTTAATCTGATGAAAAAAAAAAACTAGTGGATCACTTTAGAGTTATGTATTTTTATTTAATTTTGTTTATGTCTATTTAAGTAAATTTACATAGGATTTAAAATATAATAAAATTTAATTTTTAAAAGTGGATGTATATATAAAAAATGTAGATGGAAATAGCGGTACCCTAATAGAATTCTAACGGACAAACATCAATGATGTGGCTTAATTGCTACTTAACGGAATCCGTTAAAGTTAACGGCAGAAAAAATGGAACAAGAATTTGGAGGAAATTGGCCGGCAACACTAATTTGGATATTATTCACGTTCATCAGTTTTTGGTAATGTATTTCCACTTTTGCGTAGTTAAATACTTTTATTATTAGGATTGATGATGTAGTTTAAAGTTTTTATTATATGTTTAATTTGAAGATTTTCACGTCATTTTAATACTTGTTAATTAATTATTGTGTTTTTAATGCTTTAATTATTTGCACAACAATTAATTGATTTAAGAATAATACTGAGATCGAGAAGTGACGTAATTCTAACTCGTGCAATAATTAGCATAGACATTATAAGAGATCGAGAGATAATTATAAGTTGTGAGATCTTTGTTGAATTCCTATAAATAAATGCGTTCATATGCGTGTGAATTTATATAGAGATGTAATAAGTTCGGGCATATGAATAGGATTAGTGTTGCTCAAGAGAGATCGCTAACTACATTAGGTTAATTTGATCGTTGGCACGTATGAAAAATTGGTGAATGAATTGGAATTAAATGTATGATAAATAACCTAAGTGAAATCGGAAATCCCAACTATCCCATCACATAATCTTTTCGACAGTTTTAATTTGAGTTTTTTATTTTATTTGATAGTTTGTTAGTTTATTTATTAGAATTTCACTTAGAAAACTGAATTTGATTTGATCATTAGTTACTATTTTAATTTAAATTAAAGTTAGGTTAGTTTAAAAATTTATCGTAGATAGTAGTCTATGTGAGACGATATTCGGACTTAATAAATCCACTTTATTACTCGTCAATATCCGTAAACTTGCGGAATTTCATGAACAACACACTATAAGGCAGCTCCCATTTTCGCAGAAACTCAAATGATGCTTAGGGCGAATGGGTGATGGGACTGCCACAGTCGAATGAAGCCACGTGTGCTTCATCCAGTGGTCACAACTTCAATTGTAATGTAACTCCAAATGCTAAAAACTTTACTTCTCTCTCTAGCTTTATATATGCAATATTACTTGCTTGTTGGAATTTGATCTAGCAGTATTTCATTAAGTTATAGTGTTGATTCACCCTTGGAGCTCGAACACTTTGTTGGCTCGCATCCCAAATTGTGATCCTTCTTACACGTGGTTTGGTTTCTACTTATGTGGATGCGAGTGGGGGCTCGGGTTTCTATTGACTCTTTTTTTATATCAACAAATTGACATCGTCTATGGCAACATGCATACACATTCCAACCATGACCATCCCGTAGAAAAGCTAGCTAAAAAGCCCCTTGGAAATCCCCTTTGGAAAAATGATGTGCTCTTGAAAAAGGATAAGCTGACGTAATAAAAGGAATATTCTTAAAATTTCAGTATTTTATTCTCTAGATGAGTATTTCAAGATAAAAAAATACATTGCTACATACTCATTCCGAGGGAAGAGAACTCTGAAAATGAAAATGTATCACCTATGAAGGTAAGGGAAAACCCTGAAGAGGGCCTTCCCAGGCTGCCCCAATGGGCCGTCACCTGCCCCACCATCAGCATAGACAAAGTGAGATGAGGGTGGCAGCCCAACTTACTAGAGAAATGGCAACATGGCCGCTAATATGATGAACATGACTCAGTAGAACATGGTCATGCAAGAGCTCCTCAGGCGATCCAAAACCAAAAGGACAGCCATTCCACCCTTATCCGCCTCAGCGAAGTACTATCTCCAAGAGGACAAGGTCCAAAGCTAAATGGCTACCTCCCCTCAGTATGCGAGAGATGAAGCCCCTCTTGAAAGGGAGGTAGGAGTGGATATCTCTTCAAATTACGCATCGCCCGACCTTCCAAAGTCCCATTCAATATAAACAACTTTTCCCCTAAATACGAACCTAAGAACAGGCCTCAGAGGACTTCAAGCATGTTTTATAGGCTCAGCCCAAGGCAACCTAGAAATAGGCCATC